AAAAAATATTTTGCTTCAATTCTACTAATAAGAATCAAGAACAAAAGGCCGAAAAAAAAAAAAAAAGAATCAATAACAAAAGCTAATTAGGAAAAGGAGAAAACCAAAAAGAAAAAGAAAAAGACTCATTTGATGGACACTATTGCTTTCCAAGAATTTTGGATATTGAAATCAGTGTCCCTATCAAGAATGAGTAATATTCATAATATTTTATTTTTAAAAGAAGTTATTTTATTGGTAAAATAAATGATTGCCTTTCTATTTAGCCAACAATCTCTACAGAAGTTATTAGTCAGAAAAAGGAAAGAAAACTTGTAACTACTATACCTCTTCGTTGAGCTGCAACACTGCCAACACCATCAGATAGAACACTTCCATCAGATAGAACACTTCCTTTATCCACCTTCACTCTTGTACCTTCAGTTACAATACAATAAAAAAAAAAAAGAGCATTTAATACACTAAACAATTCAGAAAAACATATTGGAAAACAAAGAAAGATGGCCTGCACAACATCCCAAAATACTCTATTTTTTAACCGAAAAATATATTAAAAGAGAAATTATGTTAAAAATTAAAGAGATAAAAGATAAGTGATACTAACAGTTATATATCAATCGTCTCCAAAATGATAGCTGATTTTCTCTAAAGAATGGTGGTTGTGTTTGAGCAAGAGTTGAAATGATCGGTTTGGTATCCTCCTTAAAGATTTTATATATTGCAAACTTTGGAAAGTGATGGAGGAGATCAAGTGCAATATCTGATACATGTCAAATTAAGTTAATTTGGTAGACAAAAATGAAATAACAAAATTATAGAAAGAGAACATGAATGTTAGAGCTCCTACGAAACATTTTCTTAGTTATGCACTCTTCGAGGAGGTAGAAAACATAGTCTCTATTTAGACATTTTTGCTGCAGGGTTTCGCAGTAGAGGTAGCGAGTCATGTCCTCATGGCCTGCCCTGCACGCCAATTGAACCGGGAGCATTTTGTCGCCATTTGCGATAGTAAGCAAGTCCTTGTTCTGTTCAATCAAGCATTCTGCAATTTCCATCACTCCACTACGAGCAGCAAAGGAAAGAGCTGTGTTGCCATTCTTGTCTCGTATCGTCAAGTGGTCTATGTTTGCTTCACTAGTAATAGTAATCAATTCCTTAGCAACCATTAGCCGACCAGCAGTAATTGCAATCTGAAGAGCAGTTTGCCCCTTTTCAAATGTTGTAGATATTGCATCTGGCTTGCGTTTAAGTAAGTCTCTTACTTTCGAAAAATTCCCTTTGTAAATAGCATTAAGCATGGCATTTGCAAATTGCTTCCTTTCAAGAATATTTGGATCTGGCAAGCCAATAATGATGGTAATAAGCCAATAGCGTGTGTAAGGTGTAAACTAGCTAGTTCCACGTGTTTGTATCGAGAGGAAAAATGAATAGTTTATAGACTACACAATATATTTATTAAAAAATTATTATTTTTTAATTTAAAATTAAAAATA